GGAGAGGAGAGGAGAGGAGAGGAGAGGAGCAAATCTGACTTTTTTTCCTACTTATGTTTATTCATGAGCTTTACTTAAGTTGATTTCCTAGGAGTTACTGAGCCATCATTAAATCATTCTGCAGCTGTACTCCTTATGCATCCTCCTCCAACTATAACAAAGCTTTCTGGAAACTTGCATCTTTAATGAGAGTGCTGGTTACCTCCGTCGTGCAGCTGCAAAGCCTGATACTAGGGGTAGGAAGGGGGAAGCAGGAAAAAGACACTGTCTCCCAAGACAAAGCTTTCTGGAGGAGCTGGGGTCTCCCCAGCTCTCATGCCAGCAGCTGCTGCTGACTGAACTACCCTCTCTTCCTTCCAGTGGGGCAGGTACCTTGTTTTCTGGCAAGTTACCAGTTTTGTCAAGGGTGATGTGAACTTACAGCCTAAAAATAACCACTGAACAAGTCAACTTCGAATCGCACTGGCTCTTGTTGCTGCAAGCCATGGCCCTTTACCCTAACCCCCAGTCCATAACGCCCCGCTCTTCAACAGAATCAAACGGGAGAGTGGGTGGATGATGTGGACACCTAACACACAAATTGGCTTCACACGCTACGTCCCCAGAAGAGGGCACAATCCTTATGCTACAGAAGAGGCAGCAAATCTCTAAGCCTTCCCCATCCACGTGGCTGCAAAAAACAAACTAACTTAGTCTAGCTTGGTCAGTGTCAAAAATGCCTTTATGAAGGTGAAATCAACTCAAAATGCAAGGGAGAACCTGAAGTGCAAGAAAACCAAAAATCTTCCTCTAGAGATCTCTCTTTTATAAATTCACGAAGCATGCAACAGAGAAGCATGACCTCGTAACTCTGTTTTATCACAGAATCACTAAGGTTGGAAAGGACCTTCAAGATCATCAAGTCCAACTATTAATTCAGCACCACCATGTTCCCTAAACCATGTCCTGAAGCGCCACATCCACACATTTTTTGAACACTTCCAGAGATGGCGACTCCACCACCTCCCTGGGCAGCCTGTTCCAATGCCTGACCACCCTCTCGGTGAAGAAATTTTTCCTAATATCCAATCTAAACCTCCCCTGGCGCAACTTGAGGCCATTTCCTCTTGTCCTATCTCTGGTTACTTGGGAGAAGAGACCAGCGCCCTCGTTGCCACAACCCCCTTTCAGGTAGTTGTAGAGAGTGATAAGGTCTCCCCTCAGCTTCCTCTTCTCCAGAAGAGTTATTTCATACTATATGAATACTTAAGCTAAGGAAAAAGACTTAAAAAACAGCCATCAAAACTCTGATGTCTTACAAAACATACGTATTTGTCAGCAAAACACTTCTTAATCATACGGTGAAGTCTTCTGCTTGGGTTTGCCACAGTTGGTTTGACACTACATTCCTAATCCAAACAGTAAATTTAATTACCAGATTAAAGAATTTTAATTTATTTTCTTGCTGACATGTTGCAACTAATAAACAATCTTTTAAATCATATTTCAGTTGCACACAGGTACATACATATATATCATGAATATAAAATAATTGAAGTATTTTACAATGTGTGTATGACTGTACAAACACACACAAGGAAAAACCAAGAGCAGCAGGCAAGAAGCCGTGCACTCTGATGGCGATACTGCCCGTCTGAGACATAAACAAGCCTTCACTCAGAGACTACTGAAGTTATCAGATGTCAATGGATGCATTACATCACACAACAGATGTGTTAACAGATGCTAAGATAGGTGTTGATTGGACTCTCCATCACTAAGATGAGATCTGCCGACCCCCATTAAATTCTTGCACACAAGATAAAAGACAGAGGTCTCCTTTGGCAGTACAGACCCTGCAGTCCTGCTGGATCCCCTGACTCATGTTGCCATGGGTCACCTGCGCAAGCCCAAGGCAATCTGTCCTGCAGCCTTCCGTGCCTAGGCAGTCATGTCCGATGTACGCAGCGCCAAGGCAAGGGTGTCCTCCCCGGCTCTCAAGGAGGCCGATGGGTCTCAGGAGGCCAGTCTCAAGAAAGGCCGATGGGTTCCTCCTCTTGAATCCACACCAGCTGCCAGGTGGGACTGCAGACTGGCAGAGAGGTGATCAAGATCACATCCTCTCTGTCTCCAGAAAGCATTTGAGTTTGGCCAAACAGACCTGGTTCATGGGTCCTTTCCACTTCCCTCTGACTAACCTCGCGCTAGCACCTGGCGGGTTTGACATTCACCAAATTTGCAGAAGGAGCAGCACGGCAATGAAGTACTGGAGAGTTCCAGGCTACAAAGGCAGCGTCTGAACGGCACAAATGGAAGATGACTCCAGTCACATCAGGCTGAGCTTGAGATAAAGCAGCAGCAAGAACGGCAGCATAAAGCAATGCATAAAGCAACTGCATAAAGCAATGCACTCGCAAGAGAAAGCCTGGGGCTTTTTCATACCTTCCTGTAGGTATGTTTGCCTCATCAGGCTGTCTTCCATTCTTGGGAAAAAGGGGAAACCACAGAGTGTTAGTTGTACTCTGAAACTGTACTTGTCAGCTCTGAGAGACAGAACTTCTTGCACACCACACACCCGTGTGCAATTTTTGTCACTATTCTATAGTCACTGGCTGATTCAACCCAGAAGCTACTGAATGAGTTTTAACTGCCACATTTCCCAAGGGACAAGCTCTTGACATACACAAATCAGGATATATTGGGGGTTTTCAACAGAACGATCCGATTTGCACAAACTGAGGTGTGAACAGTACAGTTCACTAGCTACAATTCGTTAGTTGCTAGTGCTCATCATATTCTTTAGAAAAACAGAAATCCAGTATATTAAATTTACCGTTATTGATGGCTGAGGGGGGGAAAAGAAAAAAGCCCCAAACACCCCCAAACAAACAAAAACCCCCACCAAACAAAAAGTGGAATATTTTGCAGATTTTTTTGCTCAAAGCATCTTCTGTTTTCTTTTTCTGGAAAAATCTAACCCATTCTATCATCACTATTTCTAAAAATAACTCTCTAGATAAACAGATAATCAAGAGAATCTGTCATTAATCTTATACAGCTGCAGCAAATACACAACAGCCTGGACTACATTACTCTGGATTCCAGGGAAATCTCTTCTAGCTACAGTTTCCTGAAGAGTAATTTGATACAACTACCCTCAAAACAACTTCTTTGCACTTAGAAGTAGTCACACTACTAGAAGCATGGGCTTTGTGTGGAAAAAAAAAAAAAAAATTACCGTTAGAAGAGATTTCCATCAAGCATGTCTTTCCAGGATGCGACACCCTGACCCTGCAAGATGCACTATCCAGTTAGTCCCCTGCATATCATGGAGCTCCACTGAAAACAACATGATCTAACAAGCAGAAGCTGAATCTAGACAAATCTAAACAAGAAACACAAGGTGCGAGTCCTTACCTGCAAAAACACTTAAATTTTAACAACTTACCTTTGGCTATGATGGATTCTCCTATATGAAACCTTTTAAATCAAGTCTGGGAACCTCTCTAAAAGATACTGTCTAGGTCAGGAAAAAGTTACGACCCGCATCAAGCAGGAAATTATAATGACCGTCATGATCCTTTGACGTAAAACCAAACAAAAAACCCAAACAGTGTCAGAAAGTGATTCTGGAGATCTCTCGCCAGAATCAGGAACTGGCTTCAGAACACTTAATAGTAATGAACAAACTACCTTACCTTGTTTACATCCAAATATTCTAACTTTGGCACTTCTGCTGTCTCTTGTTCCTCGCTGCTTCCTTCATCAATGTCACTGTCTTCATCCTGTGTGGAGTCTCTCTTCTGCTCCGCAGAGGCAGGTTTGGTGCCCTTTTTGTCAGGTTCCATCTCCCCTGGGTTCCCAGCCACACTGGGCTTCTTTTGCTCTGCACTGTCTTCGCTTGGGAAGGTTTCCCCTGCCACACTACAAGAAGGACTGTCGATGCCACTGTCTCTGTTGGGAATTTTACCATTACCGTTCAGTTCTGCAGTTGAGTCTTTATTGCCAAGCTCTCCAGAGGGCTCTTTGCTCACAGTCACAGCAGTACAGTCTTCATGGCTTTTGTTATCGCCTATGCTTAGCTCTTTAATTTTCATTATGTCTGTGTTAGATAGATCTGCACTGCACGGTACATCTGGCTCATTTTCATCTGGTTCGCTTTTTTCATTTGTGGAAGAGCCGCTGGAAGCCACCATGTCACAGTCACATGAACTTGGTTGTTTGGATGAGTCCAGGCCAGGTTCCATCTTAAGAGCTAAATTTAGTTGGTTTCTTTGAAGAACATGTACAGGTTGCCTGCAGGTGAAGAGAAAGCACCACAGTCATTCATATTAACACTCAGAGGTTTCAGAAGTGCCCCAAAAGAGAGAGGACCTGATTATCACTTGATCCAAGTTGTATTCCTTGCACCCCCCCTTACAATCCTAGGAGGCAAGTGTATGCACATTGCTGTAATAATATTCGCCCAACAATTTCAGATAAAAACACACCACCCCTAGCCATAAATTTTACTGAAATGGCACCACTAGAATCCTGGGCCTTCAACACTCTCCACATTGCCCTGAAGAACAGTCTGGTTTGAAGGTTTGGGGAGGGAGGAATCATCTTCTTTTAAAAAAAGCATTTGGTTGTGGGTTCATTTAAACAGGAACTCACATTCTTCAACAGAACAAAGCCTTTGGGGCAAGGTATTTTCCACCAGAGAGAGGATGTTTTTGAAGCACAAGGCGGCACTACTTTTTCTTTTCGAAAGACACCTTCCCAGATTCACCCAGGTAATAATATACTCCAAAGCACAGTACGGTGTCCCTGTCTCCACCTCCCTCTTTTTGAAAAAAATCACTTAGCTCCATCAGGCAGATTTGGTCTTCAGAGAGACTTTTCATCTGTTTGTAAAATGAGCTGGTTTTACAGCAAAACAAAAATATTTTATCCTATTTAATGTCTCTTATACATAAAAGTTTCAGAGGAAATGTCATTCTCCATGATGTTGTTTCACAGTACGTTGTGATTTAACTCTCCCCTGCCTCCAAGAGGCAAGTTAACAGTATGTCTGACGTTTATTGAATCTTAGACAGAAAACTCAATTATTTTATATCACAATAATCAAGTTCCTATAATGCAAGAACCAATCCTGACATCAAGTCAACTTACTGAAAGCAGACTCTGGGCTACTTGCTTCTGACAGAACACTTACCAAATTCAGCAGGTCTTAAGCTCCTTAAGAACAACTGTATGTTACAAACTAAAAGTTGCCGAAATACATAGAAAAAAAATGTAATCTTTTTTTTAATTAAAAAAAAAACAACATTGTGTAGTCAGTCAAGTTTTGCACTTCCAGTAGAAAACATCCCCAGAGGAGTTTCTACATGATAATTGCACTTGTTTTCTATTGTGATACTCCAAGTTAAAAATGCAGAAAAGGCAGATGAGAGCAGATCTCGCAAAGCCATATTTACCTAATACTTTCAAATTTCTCAATGAGGGTGTTGACTCCTGCCGATATTGGTATTTCTTCCTCTCCAGGTGCTAAGCTCCTCGATGACTTGGGGTCAGCTGGCAAAGGCCGAGAAGGTGCAGGAGGAATTCTTTCCTGCCCAGGTTTGAGATGGACAGGCTTAGGAGGTACTAATAAAAGAGAAGGGAAAAAACGGGAGGATAAATCTCCATCTTCTTTATCCTAAACTGGGAACAAAATCCAAGGGCTCAATGCAGAACGAGGGGCATCCATTCTTTCACCATCCTCTATAAACTGCACAGGTGCAGTCCCGAAGTATTTCTTACAGCAAAGCAAGCTGCTGTACGCTAATAAAAATGACAGGCTTCTCTTTTGTATTTCTCCAGCCGTATCAGACGTGTCAGCGAACAGAGAGGCTCGCAGAACTTTACCGCTTCCTTGTTACCAAACAGGATGCACAGCTCACACTTCGTTTTTGCAAATGTGCTCACCATCTCAATCACACTAACGAGTTTCCCCTCCCATGACTTTTCAAAACTCGGGCACTCTGTTGAATCTCTTATACTGGGGGGGTGGGGGGAAACATCAACCCAAAACAAACCACCAAAAAACAATCCCACCATAGATTTCAGTGCCTTGTATTTGCTTGGTCAAAAACGGCACAGGCAGAGCATAATAGCTTTTCTTCCTTTCATTCTCCCTCCCCCATCTCTTCTGTGGTGTAGTCTTCATAAATTTCCTTCCTCTTTTGGTTCTACATCGAGTTATATACGATATAAATAAAACACACGTTGTAAGAACATATACATTCTGCTTAAGCATTCACTAGGAGGCGAAGGTACAAAGTTCAATACAGCATTTAAAAAAAATGTAATGTAATTTAAACTCAATGTAATTTAAACGTAATTTTAAAAAAATTATTCAGACCTTACATTGATTGCAGAGTAAATGGTTTTGCAAATACGCAAGCAGTAACCCATGGCAACAGGTTCACGTGCTGTTACAGTTTCGTACAGTGAAAGCATCCACACATAGGCAGAGCTGACACTAGAAGGTAGGCAAACCGACTGCGCGATCACTCCCCAAGCGCAGGCTGCGTGGAGCGGCCAAGTATCCCCTCTGGTCTAGACCATCCAAAGAGTTAACATATCAAATGAGGAAACTCTAAGTACATGTTTTATTAAACAACATTTTCAAGAACAGTTTATTTCAAGCATTTCCTATTTTTAAATGGTCCATATGGCACATCAGCATAATGTGATTAACATTGTAGTGGAGCTTTAATTAGCAACTGTTCTGAAGGTAATATCAGGGTTGCTTTCTTTAGGAGGCTAAATGGAGGCATATGCATCCAAAAAGCCAATTCCTGTTGTCCCTACCCTGCAGAAGGCTCTGCACACCAGCCCAGATGTCCTCCCTGCTCCAGCGGATAGGGAGCTGCTACGGATGGTCGTTGTCAAACGTCAATGTTAAAGAGTTTTTGAGCTCCGAGTATAGGTCAGATTTTAAACTACCTACACTACTGAATTTATTTCAGCACCAAATAATAAAATAAAATCTTCTAAGGATTTGAGCTTTAATGGGACACTTCCTTTAAAAAGGACTGATTTGCCCAGTCTCCAGAAGCATCTGGAATTCCTGTCTTAAAATAAAGGTGTCGTAGTTCAATTTTGAAAACACCACCACAAAACCTATTTTACACAGGAATAGCAGGCAAGCAGGAAAAGAAAATCATCTTGCATATAAACTGGATGGTGGAGCTCTCTGTTTTGTTGACCAAGTTTTCACTTGCACACCACGTGATCAGTGAGTGCCCAGCCACATTTGTCCTTGTAAAAAAAAAAAAAACCCAAAAACCCCAAAAACCCCCACACCTAAAAAAGAGCATCCACGCAGCCATCTGGCTCATCCAGCCAGAAAAGGCTCTGCACAGAAGGTGCATAATGCAGCAGGCAGACAGGCCGAAACCGACCCCACGTCCCCTCTCAGGCTCTTCATAGTTTCAGACTGCTCCACAACACTCAGAAGGTCACCGCCAAAGTGTTCACACTAACAGCGACGGGTGTCACTGCTGTCCAGGGAAACATTTTACGTCTGTCTTGGACCCTGCCTGAATCACCTGAGACAGTTCACTGCACCCGGGACAAAAAGGAAGGAGGAAAACACTTTTGTTCGTTCTGAGTTTTTATCTACCGAAATAATTTTGAGAAGCGGAGACATCAGCGCGGAGGCAAAGCCGCTGACCTCATCAAGCACCGCGCTTACGAAGCAAAATGTAAACCACACAAGGTGTTTACTCCCAAGCTGACGCAAAAAGCCTACATTCAGAATGTACGTGGGAGCAGCGTTACGTATCACAACACAGACTCTTAAACTAAAAACCATTTTAGACTTCTACGAAAGACCGAATGAAAGATCTGCGCGCTAAATAGGCTTATCTGTATGTGTGCCATCATCGTCAGTACGAAATGAACAGTCAGCCCCGGGAAAAAAGTACGTGATGCTTTTAGGTAGGGACCCTAGACCCGAAGAGGGAGCCAAAGCAGAGCTCCTGCCCATGCTCTGAAGCCACCTTCCACAAGTCCCAGCCCACGCAGCAAGCAGCACTGCTGTCTTCTCGCTCCGGGTCCCAGCCACCAACCACCACAACCTGCGACGCAGCTTCCAGTGCTTGTCCTGTGCACAGACGAGCAAACTGGTGGAGAAAAGGCAAGCCAGCTGCACAGAAGAGGTATTAGTGTCATGGAGCACGTTTCAGGTGGCGCCTGAAGGCTGAGGTCACGCGTTGGAATGGTATTTCCCCAGTCCTCCTCCTCCTGGAGGTTTTACATAGCAGCCCACGGCTATTTGGAGGAGGCAGAAACTAAGATGTAAAATCTTTCTTGCAGAAGGAACAAGTAACATGAAGCAGCAGGACAGAATTAGAAATGAGAAAGGCAAGGTTAAATATGTGGAAGAAGATACAGCCCAGGCTTGGCCCAGGGTCTGTGAAACAGCAGGGATTATGGGCCCTTCCCTCACTGCAAAATGAGCATCTTCAGCCCCGCCAGCCCATGAATCTGTCTCTCACAAGTGCCTCCTCTACAGTAATGCAAACAGTCAACACACATTTCTTAGCGACTTGATAGAGGCATTCCTATCAGTAATCCCAGCGGTGGTGGGTCTGCCGTGACTCGCTGGGAAGACCTAATAATGAGGAATTCAAGTGGCGCAAGTTGCACATGCGGATTTACTTACTTCAGTTAAGGTCCCTTGACAGGAAGAGACCTAAAACAATACACATGATGAAGCAGATTATGAAGGGTTCTTCCCTGGGAACTGAATACACTCAAAAAAGAAGAATAAATGACCCAACAGCACAGCCTTGTGTGAAGTAGAGGGCTGCTCCTAGAATCTCAGGTGGTGATGCCAGCACATCCCACCCAAAAAATCAATGAGAAACAGGTCTTAATGAGGCATCCATGTAGCTCTAGGGAGAAAGCCCAGGGAAGAAAGGTTCTTGCATAAAAATATCAACAAAAAACGGAGGAAAGATTTATGTCCGCTGCAAGGAAATGCACCACACTGTCACAACTACTTTTTTTGGACACGGCCACCAAAAGGAAGCAAGGATGGTTTACAGGAAAAATGTCAACTTCAATACAGTCAATTTAATAAAAACAACTTATTTTTTTTTATTATTTTGATGATTTCATTTTCCTGAAGAGGCATGAAGTGTTTTCCTTTCTTTACTAGGTATACAACCCATACAGTAACAGGAGATCAATGAACTATACAAGGGAGAAAAGCCATTTCAAATTTACAACGTCAATAAAAGTGAAGAGAAAAAAAATTGTACCATCTTCCCTTCCTTGCAAAGTATTGTACGTATTGTTCTCTACTGTCATATGTAAGCTAATTGCAGATACTTTTTAAAAGTAGCTTTACTATAAAGAAGTGAAGCGAAATAACAAAATCATTATTTAAAATTTATGACAAAGAAGTGTCTTTCAGGAAGATGACTGGCATATCCATGACCAAGACTTGTAATGCTGATTTGTAGCTTTTGCTAACCTAGCTCAGGCCGAGACAATATTAGGTGGTCTGATTTTCAAGTACTGGGTACTCGCAACAGTCTCATGGGAATTTTCATTGGGACTTCATGGACTACTAAAAGCAGTGACATCAAGAAGCCCAACAAAAGTGAGCTCTCTCAAAAAAAGTATTAGCAAGAGTTACTAGTCAAGAAAGCATTTTACCTGTGGGTGTTTATATTTCTTCACTAACAAATTTCCATCTTTGTCAGAGCATTAACCTGCCAGTAAGATACACTGACTTCTTTGGTTCTAAGCTTATGGCTGTAACGGGAGAGAGAGCTTGGATGTGTGTGAGCAGCAGAAAGCAGCAGCACCTACCTCACTGATGGAAATAGATTATCCTAATCTACTTGGGTAACTTTTAAGCATGACTTGACTCAAACTAAGTAGGCTCCCTCCAACTTTTATGAAATACTTATCTATAAAAAGACAGGCTATGTCCTCAGTAATTGGAAATCAGTGCAATCAGTGGAACAGCAAAAAATCTACAGCAGCTGAATTCATTCCGTTTCCTACTGAACAGACACCTCTGCTAGTCTTTTTTTTTGTTAGTATTAACAACATTCATGGAACATCCACTAATTAAACCTGGACAAACCAAGACCTCAAGGTGAAAGCACCATAAATACACAGACCTCGCGAGATGTTTCAAGCATGAACTAGTATACTAATTTAACACGTAAGGTCTACTTCCAGAACCAGAAAATGACAATGCTTTTTTTGTAGTTGTTTAAGGTTGAATGCATATCAGAAAATTGCTTTTGTACAGGCATTTGAACTGGGGGGCGGGAGGGCGTGTGTGTGCGGAGGCTCAGTTTGTACAACAAAACCTAATGGTGACCAAAATACCTTTTCTCTTTTTCTCACATGACAATGACTGTCTATCACATGGACGTGCTTCTTAAAAAAATGTTAGTTTATGAACATAGTATCTTCTTCAGGCTCATCCTCCTTTGTTCCAAACGCCTCTCAAACTACATGCTTTCTGCATCTGCAACCACCTTAAGGCAAGCACCCACTATATACAACACTTTAACCAATTCTACAAAGCAGGGGGTGGTAGCAGTGGAATTGACATGACAAAGAGAGACCATATGTCATTCTGCTGATGGAGAAGCACGAAAACAATTTATCCTCTTCCAAGAAACTTACTGCAGCCTTTTTTCAGCATTCTGAAGTTTTAGGGAAGAAAAGCCTGGGGAGACCAGAAGACCTGCCTGGAGACCAGCTGGAACATGCTTCTTCCTGGCTTCTCTTCTACCATACTTTGGGATTGCCACCTATTGGACTATGAGTCTGGCAGGTCTGTGGAATTACCACAGTCCAGATGCTACCCTTGCATATGACTGGTTTAGCTTCTATTTCTCATTTTTAAAATACATTTGTTCCATTTAGGCATTTCCTGTTGCTATGCATAGTTCGTACAATAAATGGAAAACAGACCAGGTTTGAACAATAAGCTATTCTTACCTAAATAATTTTTTTAAAAAATTAGTAAAGGATGAAAACAATATTGCTAAATTAAACTTGCACTTCACAGCTGCATGAGGTATAACAACAGTACAGGAAATATAAATTGACAAGTTAAGTAATCTGTTACTCCTGAATCAGTTTCTTCTTGAAGGCTTCCCTAAGAGGTTATCTAACATTGGAAAAAAAGAAGATAATAAAACCCTACCAGCTGTACTTGAACCTCAGAATAACTATTTTCCTGTGACCTAAAAATGAAAGCAATTCATTTAAAATTACTACACTTCACATGCGATAGAAGCTTGTACAATTGTTAGAAAGACAAAGTCACTTGCCTTGGGGTTTCTGCAGAGGATGCATTTTGGCCAGTGGAGTTTTGGTTTTGGGCTTCCTTCCAGTTTGATGGATACATTGCGCCGGGCTGATGTGCTGCAGTTCCCCACATGCTTCCAACACCGGATTTGAGTCAATGTGACATTTGACTTGAAAAGGAGAACAAGGGCAACCTGAGGGAGAGGCGGGGGGGGGGAAGTCAATATTTATTTCATTTGATTAATCCTGAAGATTTGTGCTACTTCTAGAAGCATATCACTCATCCAAGTTCCTGAGGGAAAGGAGCGGGGTAGAACCATTCACTCACAAGTTATTACAACTAATATATCCAGCCTTAATAATCATGTCAAATTAGCTGACTGATAAGACAGATGGAATTTCTGTAATCCTGTCTTTAGTTACTTACATTTTTACTATGGACACCCGAAATAAAAGAGAAAATATAAAAGATAAAAACCATTTCAAAAGAATTTCTCCAAACAGAAATACAATGCCCCACCATACAAGATCATGTTATTCGGTAAAATACACCTAAGTTACGGTGAATTAGAAATGTGTCCTGCATGGGGTGAATGGTGCACGCACCGTTCCTTCAGGAGATTTAATCATTCAAGCTGCATTTTATGGCTATTTATTATTCCTCCTAATATAAAATATTAACATTCCTTCAAAAGGCTCCAGTCTAAAGATAAGCCATTAAGATATGATCCAGTGGGAAAACAGAGAAAGAAGTGATTAATATGCTTGTCTCTTAATTTCACATTCTTGATTCATTGCTGTGGGCACTGTGGAAAAAAACCCGTATATCCACTTTCATGTAGTGTATGCTGCATTTTTTCATTTGGGCTTTTTTTGACTTGTGGCAAGCTCACAGCTACATGAAATCCTCACGTCAGCTTTACTAGTGTGTTATAAGAATGTAAAAAAGAGAGTTTAAAAACGACTGTGGTTTAAAATTGCTGCATATGAACGCATGAATATATACGCTTCCGGCAGCACTGAGAAGCGGAAAATTTATCAAATGTAGAAATTTGAACGCTAATGCATAAAAAAAAGGGCAAAGAAAACATGACAAACGTTCTTTCCATATTCCCATTTTAAAGTGGACTAGCTGAAATGACCAGCATCTTGCTGGATCAAGAGGTGACCTGCACCATGTAAAAAGGGTTCATCTAAGTGTGAAAAATCAACATTTGCCTTCCTGTGATGTGTTCAGGAACATGGCATTAGCTTCACAAATGCAACCTACTCTTGGCCAGATTTATACTAAGATCAAAAAACTGAAATGACAAGCACCTCCATCCGCATCAACTAAATTATCCTGGGTTTATACTAATGGTATTAAACCAGGATGTGACCTTTTGAATAAAGACTTTGAAATCTGAGCCATACAGACTGCTTGGAAAGATTAGCTGAGAGTTGGCCTCAAAATGCAGAAACTTTCACAGCAATATAGACGATATTTTTAAAACAAGCATAAAGTATTAAAGTCAATTTTGTTGCCAAAAATAGATTCAGATGGTACAAATCTATTTACTGATCTCTGCCACCCAAATATACAACCCCTGAATTCCTCAAGATGGCTGCCAGTTGTTGCTGTTGAAGCTTCATTAGCATTTCTACCACAAAATCTGCTTTTCAGCAGATTTGAGACCAGCTATTAAAACATCCTTCCAGCTGAAACCAGGAATTTATAAGTACTAGGTTTTATTCAAATATAATTTCACTTACCAGGAAAACGCAGTGAGAGTAGATTATTAGACTAGATTAATAGATTATTGCAAACACATCATCATAGAAAGAGCTTACGCAGATGCCTCAGCTCTGGCTACCAAGCTCCCTGTGACAGCAAGAGCAGTGCCACGACAGGCCAGCTTTTTAGGGAAAGGACTGAGGTTTCTTCCTTACTAACAGTAGCTCAGCTCAGCAAAAAATTAAAATAGTACACAAGGGAAAAGTGCTAATTCAAGAAAATAAAAAGGGCAGCACACCAGAAGACAGAGCTCAGTGTTTCAGCAGGTATGCACCAGTGCCTGTGAGCGGAGGGCAATCTGGCAATGTTCTATTTTCCTAAAAATTACTTTAATGATCCAATTCTCAGTGGACAAATCTCTGTACCTACAACAGCTCTAGAAGAGACGAGAAGACACCTCTAACCGTGCTATGCTGTTTGGTTGTAGAAGCATGGCATCAGGCTCTTCTCTGGCAAGCGCTGAAGCTCCCGGGAGATGCTGGACGTGACCACAGTCCCCTGCAGCGGCTGAGGGAGGAGAGCCACAGCTCCTCCTGCCCTCGGGTGCCGCATCCCCGGGGTATCCTCAGCTGGGCATCCCAAGCTGAGCCCAGCTACCCCTGCGCTGACGTGGGATAAGGTACCAGTTGCCCTCAGCACGCCCTGTTCCTCTTCAACCACTGCCACAAAAAGGGACCGTCGTCTTGGTATCGTTTTGTCAAGTTTCAAAACGAACTAAAACCCAATTCCTTTTTCTTTCCTACTGAGATTTATCATTGTGAAAGCAGGCTGGCCACCTTTCTTTCTTACTGATAAAAATAAGAGCTAGTGGTTACTTGCTTGCTTTCGAGTACATGGCACCACCAGACACCTCTTTTATGTCTAGACTAAAAGCTCTTACGACCTGCTTATGTGACTAAAAAGTAGCGTGCTTTGATCCTTATTTTATAAATCCACATATAAGTTTTTCTCTTCTACTGCATAATCCTGTCAAACAATCAAGGCACAAGATCCTCCACTGGTAATTACTCAACAAACGCTTCCATCTTGCCTGAAACAAGCTCTGAATTTGGCTCCGAACGCTCTAAGACTTGTGCTCAGAGGCATTTACAGAGTAAATACTTAGTGAAGCCTTACGCAACTTCCCATTAAACAAGACCTGATATTAAAAAAAAAATTTTAAAGATCCATCATTCTCTAAAAATACTATGTTTTATCTCATCTTGTTGAGTGCATATACAGGTTAGTGCTGAATATATATCGCTGTTCACCTACTGCCTGCGCTTAACCCACACGTTTATTGACGGTACATCCAAAGAGCAAGAGGGCACAAATAAAATTGATAAGTAGTTGGAAAGAAGAGGAACTTGGAAAGCCACGAGTGCCTTAAACACCAAATGTAGCGCTGGCCCTAAATCAAGAAAAATATGCATGAGTGAAACCACAGAAGTGGCTTTCATTCTTTTTTATTTAATTTAAGCCAAGATGGTTCTCTTTATTCATTTCTGATGCGGCCCCTAAGGGCTGCTTTTTGCACACAAGACAAAAATCCACTTTTCTACATATTTTTTCAAGTGCTATAAAATGATCTGTGAAAACAAGATTTACTGGATTATTTCACATGGAATTCTCTGAAAGTAAAACCCACTGTCTGCCGAGCGCGCTCCAGGGTGCTCCTGGAAACGGAAAACGAGAGGGACAACATCAATAAGATGCAAGGGTAGCCCAGGCAGCCGCCCCCCAGGCGCCCGTGGTCCTGCCCACCCAACGTGCAGGACCCCGCACAGAAACCGGCTCCTCTTCGCTCCTCCTCCGGCCCGGCCACAGCTCACCCGGCCCAGGGAGGGCGACTGCCACGGAAGCACCCGGGACGGGTACTGCTACGTGCAAATTGACAAAAAATGGTTATTTCTGTCCACACCCCACAGACACTACTAACAATAAACCGCTATTCCCGGAGAGCCTGGCTCACGCCGACTCCACATCCGATCCCTGGTTCCCTGCACAGCTCCGGGCAGAAACGTACAGCCTGTCTGGACGGGGAGCCGGCGCCCGCCCCGCTGCAGAGCCCTGAGCGCGCGCTTCCAGACGTACCGAACTGCCGTAAAGCTCAGCTTTGCTGCGCGCAGGCCTTGTGTCTCCAACGTGTTTACGCTCAAGTACGTCATGGCTTGCTTGTAACTACCCGCACAAACAACGCTGCCCACAGGCTCTCTGTTCAAAACCAATCCAAGCAGAAAAGGACAAAGATGATGCTTTCCAGAGATCATTTTTTGCATTGTATTTATAAAATAATATGTACTTAAGGCTCCTACCAAAGTAAAACTTAAAGGAAACTTCTGAGAATGCCTAAGATAATGTACAATTTATTTTTTCATTCTAGTGAAAATATAATTCAGTCTTTCTGACCGAAATCAATGCCTCTGGGGAAACTCTTTCATGGCACAGAGAAATTTCTCAAGTATCCCCCCTTATTCTCCCTAAGCCCTTTGCACCCAGAAGAAAGCCCGTATTTTTGAAAAATTTCTCTTAGACTCTGCCGTAAACTTGAAGGCTCTGATATATTTTCCTACTAGGCTAAGATAAAATATAAGGATTTTGGGTGCTCCACGGACTAGACACACTGGGGAGGCACTGAAAAACACCTACCTTAGAAGTTTGCTTTCACCAAGAAATGATACCATTGGGGGATTTCTCCGTCCACCCAGAATGACGGACGTGACTTTAAAAGCTTGCTCAAGGGAGGCTTGCCCACAGGAAATTCTCAAGCCCTCTGCCATGCCCAAACCCGGGACCCCCAGGAGAGGGGAGGCTCCCCCCAGGGCTCCCAGCTGCCCCACAGGCAGCACCACCCCAGCCACGGAGCCCCTGCTGCTCCTCCTCGGGGCAACCTTCCCTGCCACCTTCAGGGAAGAGGAAACCATCTTAGCCACCAGTGGAAGGGCTTCCCTACTCCCGCCACCACTGCTATCACCCACAAGTTAAACAGGCTCTGGGAGCTTCCAGCTTGGTAATTCTTTGCTGATTTAGGCTCTCTGCAACATCAGTGAAGTCAAGAGCTCCAAAAGGCAACTCAGCGTAATATGTCAGGTCCAACTCTAAGCATGGGAAGACATTGAAATTCTCTAATCTTTCTTCAAGCATCTGAAAGTGAAACTATTCTGGATGGAAACTGGCTATGGCATCCAGAAATGCATCCAGTAGCGGTGTCTCCATTTCTAATGCTGTTTTGTAATATGCACCATGCACATCAATGGATAAGCAGCCATCACCAGTCTGATTAAAAACCTGTCTGCAGGCAAATACACCAAGATAAATGAACTAGAATCTGTATAATGTTAAAAGACAATTTTGCAGCTAACTGGAGTCTGGACAACTAATGCTTAGTTATACCCAGAACTGACCAGATTTAAAAATAACAATAAAAACAAGAACA